TAATATAAATACAGGAGACAAAGAAATATAAAAACAACAAATGGAAGTAAAAATGCAAATGCATGTATAAGTAAAATAAAAATAAAAATTTAAAAACAGTAAAATGTAAATTACATGCTAAAATACATTTTATTGGAACTAAGCTGGAAAAAACAAATGTAAAACTCAATTAAATTATAAAACATGAAGAAAGTTCCCCATTTCTCATATAATTGGTGCATTTTTAAGTATATTTATTTATTAGTCCATTTATATATTTATTTCTATTTATGTCAGTTTCAGTCCTCCATATAATTAATGCATTATTTCAGACTTGTGAATGAAAMAATAGACAATAAAGGCAGTTCTAGTTTTTTAAGACAAAGCCTGTCTCACCGTGTCTCACACTAACAGTATGAGCTAAGACATGGAACATGAATGAACACGACTACCTGGAATCCAAACAGACCTTTTGCTCAGCAATCCTGAAAAGTTTTGTAGTCTAAGTTCTGATTCTTTCACTCAAATGTACCTAAAACAGAATGCTGCTCCTTTGTAAACTATTCGCCACCAGAGAGCTTGTCAAGGCAGCACAACAAACACAGCATCAGAAAGGCAAATGCGAGTGAACTGCCTGGTCTAAGTGTGACAAAGAGGATTGAGTCATCAGAGGAGAGGCGAACGAGCTCAGCTTCTGCAGAATTTACGAGACGTTTTTAAGGGAATGCAGGAAATGTAGCACTTTGTCAAATTCAGCATAAACCTCTGCATCTGTCAAGCTTGAGGAAGCAAATTTTTATCAACGAGAACGAGCYTGGAAGAAAACTGCAAACGTTACAYGGCTGGAWAAAGGCGTTTAAAGAATTTTAGGTAAAAAAAAAAGTTTGATCAATTTCTCATTCTGTTCATTAAAGGTCAAAGTCCATGTTGGATGCACTCAACTTTGTGKGATGGAAAACACATCTGAAGCGAACGACTGACCTCTTCAATGACTTGTGAAATGTRTGTTTGAACCATGAAGCAAACAGCAAATCACAGTAATAACATACACTTGCAGGCCTCTCAGTGACATGGTGAAGTTTCTGTGTAATTCACAATAAAGAGATGGACTGTTTCCAGCTGCTCTCTGTGGATCGCTATTCCATATCTTTATTGAATGCTGGTAATCTATTTTTAGACATCAGCAGTAATTTTACTTCAACATTTTAGCAGATATCTTTACTTTTGTTTAATTTAAAAACATTTACAATGGAGTAAGAGTCCCCCTTGTCATAAAAAATAAGTTGGCAGATAAAAGGAAGAACAATAAACTTGAATAGAGTAAAAAAAAAAACATGGGAACAAGTAGAAGGAATGTAAAACTGAATAATTATTTTAACCTCCTAAAAGTTGGCCCTGAAATTATTCAAAAGCCTTTCGACATTTTTGAAAAAACATACCCAGATCATTGTTAGAAAACACACACACACACACACACACACACACACACACACACACACACA